TATAGTACGTATATAGGCGAAACTGAAGGGGTTGTCAAACAAAATTTGTTATTCTCTTCACACAGACGAGTTCTGAGAGAATAAAACACACTTGAGAGAACTAAACACACTCACAAAACTTCAAATTTTCTCCGCGAAATTGCGAGGATATTAGCACTTAATAGTTCATCTTATCACTTAAACTTAATATTTATTATTTTTTGCCACACTTTTAATGTATTTAAAACCCCGAAAATATTTTAAATTTTACAAACGAAAAAAAATATTTTTTATTCTTTGACATTTCATTTTAATTAAAACTGAAAAAAGAAAAGTTGTAAATTTTTGTATTGAAAATGAAAAAAGTATTTCACATACTTTTTTTCTTTTTCCATTAGTGCGGAAAAAATAACAAAAAGACGTGTTTATAATATGTTTTAAAATTAAATATCTTTTGAAAAAAATTAATTAACTAATATTTTAATTTGCAAGTAGATGAAATCCCAGTAATAACACACAAAAAATAACGTATCTAAAATACATTTATTATTTAGTACCTTTTGAACAACTGTGTTTATTTTTGTGCTTCTACTAATACACTCTCACCAGTTAGGTCTTTGACAGGGGACTTAGGTCTTTGACAATCCCTTTCGCCTATATGCTACTATATAGTTCTATAGTTGAAACGAAAAGTCGACTTTTCGACTTTTTTCATTTAGTTAAAAGTCGACTTTTGGACATTTCGACTTTTTTCGACTTTTCGAATTTTTTCGACTTTTTCCTACTTTTCGATTTTTTTCGACTTTTCGATTTTTTCGACTTTTTGACTATTTTCGACTTTTTTTCGACTATTTTTTGACTTTTTTCGAGTTTTTCCGACTATATTATTTCGACTATTTTTGACTGTTTTACAATTTTCGAGTTGTCGACTTTTTCCGACTTTTTTCGACTTATCGACTATTTTCGACTTTCAGACTTTTCGACTTTCAGACTTTTCGACTTTTATTAACAAAGTCGACTTTCCGACATTTTTCACAGACCATAGTCGAGTTATCGACATTTTTGGAACAAAATAGTCGACTTTCGACTTTTTTCGACAAAAAGTCGATTATTCGAAAGTCGATTTATAGGACCCTACTAATGATCATCTTGTGTAAAACAGGGTGAATACAAGAAATTTAAAAATTTGTTATTAATACTGTGTGCCAAACGGCAGCAAAGTTCTAGTAAAATAAAATTTTCTTATGGTGGAAAATATTATGACTTTTGCTGTGCCAAACGAAATCTTTTTTGATTACATTAAATTTTGACAATTGTCACTAATCTGCATTTATTTTAATAAAAGAAACACTTTTATTGATTTTTTTATTTTTAAAATAAATTTCTACAATCACAAATGTATTAAAAACTAAAATTATAAAATATTTTATTTTTTGTATTTTCAAATTTTTCTTTTCAATTGTCAAAAATTTATGTAGCCCGATGAGCTAGTAAAATTTTATTCACCTCATATCTGTCAAAAATTTACATTTTCAAGTAAATTTTAATAAGTACAGTTTAAAAATAATCTGAGTCACACTGTTAAAAACTGGAAGACTATTATATTTTAAGTTTTATCTCTATTCGAGAAAATTACAGAAACGAGGTACAGAACTTGGCAGTACTGCAAAAACCGTCTGCAAATCAGAAAATAAAAGAGTACACTCAATTCGCTGCAAATTACTTTGTTATTTTCTCTCCGGCTATAGCAAAGTAAATTTATAAAGTAGACTCATTTGAACAGCTGACTATTTTTTTAAACTTGCTATTTGTGGACTATCTTGTCAAAAATGTTTATGTTGAAATTTTTGTTTTAATTTTAACGCGTGCTTTTGTACAAATTTCTGAGTAATTTGTTGTATTTAAGGGTATAATATTTTGAAAAATGTTCTAATTTTTAAAAAAATAAAGAAAACTCACACCAATAATGCCATATTTTCCATTAATTATTGGTTCAATCAATGTATATTAATTTTATAAGGCAGTGTCATCGGCGAATTCAGAATACCAAGCGAATTGGTTATATTTTTTATATGTAGTTTGACATTGTGCCTGCAATTGAAGGCGAATTGGATGAAATGGAAAAATTTCAAAAACAGCTGACAAATAAATCAAAGCGAATTTATATCAAACAAAAAATGGTTATAAATTTGAATCTGTTTATAATTTATTTTGATGTTTAAACTTTTAAAGATTAAAAACACAAAAATAAACCCTAACCACACAGTTTCACTTTAATCATAACATTCACATATACAAAATGAAACCAGTTTGACATTAAAAAAAATGAAAACAATGTTTGACATTAATTATACACCACGGCGAAAAATGGACATAATAGCAAAAAACGATCAGCTGTTCTGATAACACTACCTTATAATTAATATATCTCGGGTTCAATTTTGTAAACAATTTTTGACTGTTGAGTATTTCGAACAAAAACAAATTGCCCGTGGTTTTTGTAGACGTTTGTTGTACAACAACTCGTGTCGCTACTTTATTAATTTATTTTGGGCTATAGACTTCAAAATTCTAAGAGCACTTTTAGTTGAGGGGTCAAGGCGAAGGGTTTTTTCTCCATTCTTTTTTAAATGCCCTTCGTAAAATAATGAACGGTTATATGGAGACTCAAAAAGTGTTGCCATATTTATGATTCTTAAATGTTGTTTCTATTATTTTGTTTAATAATATATATGTTTATTTTTTAAATATTTCTTAATTAAATGTTGTGTTAAATATGTTTAACAAATATAATTTATACAAATTTGGTGAAATAACGACCAATTGATTATTAAAATATGAATGTAGTTGAGAAATATTGTTATTTTTATAGTTATTTATTCAATTATTTATATTCTTTATAAAAATAACTACAATTTAACAGTCAAATATTAAAATATTTATTATATTTGGGTTAAATGTAATGTAAATAAAATTCAAAATATTAAAGTGGCAACACTGATTCATGCATTCGAGTGATCGCACACGATCTTCACTCTTTGAGTGCAGAATAAAAATAAAGCAACTGCCCAAAATACGAACACCCCGTGTCTATATTAGACAAATATTTATCACAGCACTTGACAAAACGTCAGCAGAAAAATTTTCAGTTTTTTGTTTATGTTAATTCATAGGAGTAACAAAAAGCTGATTTTATCACGACAACTCGCAGATAATTTTACTAAAATAATGCTATATTTTACGGAAACAATTGAAATTAAAGGCAAATTTTGTAAATAAATACTAATTTCACTAAAATTTTGTTAAAAATCAATTTTAATTGCACAAAAATAAAATTCTATACAAATTTTACAATACAATGACGTTTGTTATCAAGACAACGTTGTTTAAACAATTGTTTAGATAACACTGTCATAACGACGCTATAACGCTAATAAATGCTGTCTACACCTGCTAATTTTGAATCATGATAACAATTTGACGTTTAGTATAATAAATATTTGTCTACAGGGGCTAACAAAAGAGATACCCAAAAAACCCCTGAAATTACGATTCGTGCGTCTTTTGCTACTTCCCTTTCGTCTTTACAACAATTTGACGTTTAGTATAATAAATATTTGTCTACAGGGGCTAACAAAAGAGATACCCAAAAAACCCTGAAATTACGATTCGTGCGTCTTTTGCTACTTCCCTTTCGTCTTTACCCCCTTTGCCAACAAACTCGTGTCGCACGTTGGTGTCCCCTCAGCTAAAAGTGGTCTATGGCTGATAGAATTTTTGTTTTTTATGGGAGTTATGGCATTCCAAATATTGGAAAAATTCATACATACATATAATACGGTAACCCCAAAAATCTTGATGTACAGAAAAACAATAACAGTGTACACTTAATATTAATAATCATGAACAGTATCTTACGAAGCTGGTGTTTGAAATGAATCAGTGGATATAATCATTACATCCGATCGAAGGCCGGTCGCACAGAAAAAATTTTTCCTGTACATAATGGTAGCCCCAAAAATTTAGAAATGCAGACAAATATTTTAAGTATAGAAGGTGTTGAATACTCCTCAGAGAATGTAATCCTTTCGATCGGTCGACTATACAGGTATAAATGATATCTCATTGCACAATTTTTAATCTTATTTTTTGTTGTAAATTACAATTTCAATACATTGATTGATATTTTTTCTACAATTTGGGTAAACTAGATTTGTTACAAAACTTTTTTTACACAAGCTCTTGGATTCTATATATTAAGTTTGGATTTAAAGCGGATCTAGGTTTATAAAACTTGTAGAGGGTATTTCTATGAACTTCCATTTTTATTCATTTGGTATTCTTAAATTCCTAAAAACAACCATTTGTTTAATGTATTCATGGCTATATTGTTTCACATAATGACTAGGGTTTCCAAATTCCCGACGTTTTTTGATTCCCGGGAATCGGGAAAAAAATATTCACATTCCCGGGAACCCGGGAATTCCCGATAAAATAAAAAATTAATTAAAAAAGCGTTTACGCGATGTTTTATTGAATTTTTTTAACATACCATGTTGCTTAGTAATATGTATATATAAAATCACGGTTGGCAATAGTTTTGAAGCAGTGAAAAGATAAGGGTAACGGTATTTAGATTATTTCGGTAAAGTTGTTTTAGCGGAAATGGTAGTGAGATAAGAGGGTATTTTAAAGGAATAATTATTTAAAAATAATATAAAATAACGGTAGTTCGGTAACGATATTTTAGAGATAACGGTAGTAGAGCTGAGAAAACGATAGCCAATCTTTATTTAAATAAAGTAAATAAAATACTTTATTATTTTCTTTATAAAGTGTCCCGCGGGCAACTTTTTGAAGGAATACCTGTCCATTTTTGTTGTATAAAATGTGTTACAATAAGCATAGTTGTATTTTTACTAGTTTTTAATTCCCGGGATTACCGACTAAAATTCCCGGGAATCGGGAAGCTAAAAATCACTACATTTCCCGGGAATTTTTTCCCGACGCTTCCCGGGAACGAACCCCTAGTAATGACAGTGTATATTGTTTCACGTAATGATAGTGTTCAGTTCATTCACATTCTATCCAAATTAATATAGTTATATGAAACAGGTCCATGGCTACTTTAAAAGGATTTCGTTACATATGTTTTATAACTGCGCTTGTTGGAATAACCGGTCTTACCTTGTATCCGATAGTTATAAAACCATTAATTAATGTTGATGACTACAGTAAGTTTTTTATAAATACATTTTTAAATTAAAAGTACACCCAAACAAATTTAGATACAATATGTTTATTTATGTAGAGTAAGTGAATCACTAAATCAACTCAGCACCAAATATACCCTTATTCGCGTGTCTTTACCATTATCGGTCTTCTTTCTTCGAGATTTGCATAGGTTTAATGACCTCCAAGAAAGCGATTTATAGTTATATTTTTTAAAAACCGAATATGTATTGAAAAATTTTCATTCATGTATTATGAAACTTATTTTTTGGTTTATTTTCAATTTCAAATGGATTATGAAGAAAATTATAGTGAAAAATAAAAGAAAATTAACCCACAGAAAATTTTCAGAGTATTCGGAATTGTAACCAATGTTGTGTGCTTTACTTTGTGTTACATACAATTTGATTTACTTGTATATAAAATCTGGATATGAAGTTTAAATTTTTTAATAATTTGTTTTGCATTACATCTAATACCCTTATTCCATAACTTATACTATGTTTCCACTGGCGTGAAATCTACTAGATTTGCGTAAACCTCTTCAAGGTGTTTTCACTGAGCTTACTCGTTTTTAATCGAATTTTCGAACGAATCCCGCCATTTTATTTTGGTGTAACGATAGTAATATTAATTTCCTTCAAATTTAAACAATACAAATAAAAAATTACATTTGTAAAAGTATACATTTGTTTATTAAGTGCCACTAATTTTAAAATTAAAATTTGTTTTGTTATACCCTCCACCACCATCAGTGGTGATAGAGGGTATATATAACTTTGTCATTCCGTGTGTAACACCAAGAAATATTCATCTGAGACCCCACAAAGTATATATATTCTGGGTCCTTATCAAATTCTGAGTCGATTTAGCTTTGTCCGTCTGTCTGTGTAAAACACACTCACGATAAAACGAAGCAATAGAATTTAATCAAATTCACCCGAAATGTTATTCATTTTCCTAAGTTGTTTGGTATTGAAAATGAGCAAAATCGGTTTCGTTTCTACACAATTGCCAGAATCGGTCCACAATTTCATATACCTCCCATACAAAAGTACATATTCCCGGAAAATGGGTTTTTTGTTAATAACTTCCGTCAGAATGTCGATATCTTCACAAAAATTTACAAATTTAAATCCTATGTCAATAGAATTCATTCACTTAAACTCGCATAACTCATTACTAAATCCATATAAAGTTTGGCACAACTATTGCTCATATACAGAGAAATATTACTGTGAAATTGTTTTCCTATCGATCCAAAATTGATCATAGTTCCCATACAAGATCCGTTTCAGAAAAGCACTTAAAGGCACATAACTCATTACCAAATAGTGATACCCATAAAATATTTGGCAAAAATACTATTTCTACACAGAAATGTTATTTCAAAATTTTTTGACGATCGGTCCATCCTTGGTCATGGTCATAGCTCCCATACAAGGTTCGCTCCCGAAAATCACTTAAACGCACATAACTCATTACCAAATATTGATATCGACAAATTTAGCAAAAATATTGCTCTTATATACATAAATTACACTATAAAATTGTTTTACGATCGGTCCATATTTGGTCATAGCTCTCATACTAGGTTCCTCCAGAAAATCTCTTAAATGCACAATATGCATTACTAAATAATGATACAGATACAGAATTTTGAAATTTTGTATTTATACACATAATTGGTCATAGCTCCCATACAAGGTCCTTTTACGAAAATCTCGTAAACGCACATTACTCATTACCAAATAAAGCTATTGATACAAAATTTGACACAAATATTAGTTTTGTATACAAAAATTCTATTTCAAGATTTTTCACGATCGGTTCATAACATGGGTGCGGTCGGTCCCATACAAGGTTCCCTTCAAAAAATCACTTAAACACACATTACTTATTACTAAATTATATTATATAAATACAAAATTTGACTGAAATATAGCTTTTATGTACCGAAATTTAGCTTAAAGAATTTTTTACGATCGGTCTATAATTGGTCATATCTCCCATACTAGGTCCTTAAATCTTTTTATGCATACATGCAAATTACTAAATATCGCTAAAGCATATCTTAGGGCGCTATAAAAGTATAAAAGAAAATGGCGTTTGTAATGTTCAATAAATCTTGGAATTGTAATAGATTTAAGCTGTTTAAATCTTGGGATTTTTTTATTTAAGACATGAGAAAACTAGATTTTCTTAAAACGCCTCAGTGGGAACATAAGGGAATAAAATGGTAAAAAAAATTAGATCAATACTTCTTGCAGTTTAACTGTACCTTCAATTTGAACTCGGCGGATTTCGGGAAAATCGAACATCTTCACTGTTTTACATTTTAAATAAAGTATTATAGTCCAAATAATATTAATTATATATCTGAAGTTTTATTCAAATCGGACTTTTTAACCCATAAACTGTGGAGTTCAAAGGTAAAATTTTGCAATATTTGTGAATTCTCAGTGTACCATATCGAAATATTATTTATTTGTCGGCCAAATTTAATTTTGTAGAATATTGTGATAAATACACATTTTAAAGTTGGTGGTTTTATTATTTTATTTATTTTAATTATTTTTAAATTGTTGTATTTCTAATTTATTTTTAATTTATAGTTTTTTAATTTATATTATTTTCGGCATACTTTTTATTTTTATATATGACAGCTAGACAAAACCTTGGTCCAATTTTTAGTGACAGTAGTTTTATTAGGTCTAGGTTATATAATTTAGATCTAAATATTAACATAGGACATTTAAATTGCACTAGTTTTAATTTAAATCCAAATTCATCCAAATTTCGTGAAATTAAATGTTGTAGAATGCTTGTTTGTTGAACTTTATCTTGGAAATATAAAGCTTTTGGTAGGAGTTGTTTACCTTCCTCATGGTAATTTCGATTTGTTTGAAGATGAAATATCAGATTTGCTTGTTCGTTACAATAATATTATTATTATGGGTGACTTTAATAATAACTTATTTGATAATGTCAAGTCCTTGAGGGTTCGAAATATTTGTAGAAGGATGAATCTTTCTCTGATTCATAACTCTATGCCTACACATTTTGATGTTTGTCACAATTCTACTTCCTTGTTAGACTGTTTTTTGGTATCTTCTCCTGAATTGGTTGGTTGGCTGATCAATTTCAGTGTCCTGGTATAACTCGTTCTTCTTTCTTTCATCTTTTTGTCGATTGAGGTTCCTCGATTTATTGGTAGACAGTTTTTTGAATTTTACGATTATGATTCGGTTAATATTGAGTCCATTGGAGCTATGCTTTCTGAGTGTGGTTTTGATGATATGTACTTAACTGGCAGTGTGGATGAGCAGCTGATGTTATTAAATAATGGTTTGCAGTTATTGCATTCTGCAGTACCTTTGAAGAGACGAATGATACGTGGATGTGGAAATGGCTGGATTAATGCACCTGAAATTCGATATCAGTTGTCGCTAAGAGATCTGCATATGGTGCATATTTGGATAATAGAACTGATGCCAATTGGGGGAAATTTTGTAGATGTAGGAATAAAGCTAAAATGATTATAAGAAGATTAAGAGAGATGCTTATGGCATTTGAACTTATTAAGTCTAGGGCGGTTGGTTATGATGGATTTGGACTTAAATTTTTAAGAATTTTGATGCCATTTATTGGTAATTATGTCTTATATTTGGTTAACACAATAATGACAACTTCTAGTTTTCCTTTATTATGGAAGGTTGCTAGGATTGTTCCCTTGAGTAAGAATAGTGGTATTAGTGGTGGTAATGATTTTAAGCCTATATCTATATTGCCCATTCTATCAAAGATGGTTGAGCATCTGATTAAGATTCAACTGGTAAAGCATATTGATGATGGTCGGTTGCTTCATTATTGTCAAACTTACATAATTATATATATAACAAAAATAATGCAAGTATTTTAGACTGTTGCTTTGGTATTATTGGTTGCCTATTTATTGTTGTTGGTTCACATCATTTTAATTGCAATTAATATGCATAGGTTTTTTATCTAGTATTGACTGATTTATGATATGAATTTTTTTGACATTGTTTGCAAATTTTGTGAAATTTCTGTTAGCTTTGAAATGGGGGAATGTTGTGTGGTTTAAGGATGTTGTGATTGCTCAGTCAAAATTGCTGATTTGGATGAATTTACTTTGTGACTGTTTTGGTGTAAGATGATTTGTGACTGTTATTGTGTGCATAGAGTTTTGTGTTTGTGAGGGTTTTTTCTGCTATTATATTTTTGCTCTTATAGAATTGTCTTTTCATTTTGTTCTTTTAAAGTTAGTCTTGAAATTTTTATTATGTAATTGACTGGTAATTTTGGTATTTAAATTATTTTACAAGAGTTGATATTTTTTGGGGTGGTTTAAAACTTTCTTCCAATTAATTGTCTTATATTTCTTCAGAAATGTTAAATTGATAGGTGTTTTATAGCTTCATGTTTCTGTCTGTTTCTTTGAATTACATTTGATTGATTGTTATTTTATATAGTATATTATCTTTTTAAATAATTTAGTTGTAATTTTATTTTTATATAATTATGTATTTTGTGTTGGAAGAATTATTGCAAAGTAGAAATTTGTAACCGCTTATGGCCTATAGGCTAGGTTATTGAATATTCTTAAATAAATAAATAAAAAAATAAAAAAAGATGACTAGAATTTTTAGTATAAAGTCCGATATTTAAATTAGAGTGAAAAAAGGTAAATTAACCCTTTAAAGCACTTGGGAACAATTTGAGATGCTTACGGCATTTGAACTTATTAAGTCTAGGGCGATTGGTTATGATGGATTTGGACTTAAATTTTTAAGAATTTTGATGCCATTTATTGGTAATTATGTCTTACATTTGGTTAGCACAATAATGACAACTTCTAGTTTTCCTTTATTATGGAAGGTTGCTAGGATTGTTCCCTTGAGTAAGAATAGTGGTATTAATGGTGGTAATGATTTTAGGCCTATATCTATATTGCACATTCTATCAAAGATGGTTGAGC